TGCTTCCCCCTCCCCAACCCCGTACCCCAGGTCACCACCCAAATTCTCTGCCCACACATCCCACCCCAGGTCACAACTCCCTTTCCAATCCTGCATCCCGGTTACACCCCCTCCTAGATCAAAAATCACTTTGCACCCCCCAACTCCCTCCCAGATCCTGCACCCCAATCCCCTGCCCCAGGTCACAACCCCCTACTCCACCTAAAATCCCTCCCAGACCCCACACCCCGGTCCCTTACTCGGAGCTCCCTCTGAACCCAGCCTCCATCCCAAACCCCACAGCCCTTCCATAGAGGAGTGCAGCCTAAGACCACTTGCCAAAATCAAGAAGTGGGCCCCCCCCTCAGAAATTATTGCCTGCCCCTGATTTAACCACTTAACCCTAATACAGAAGATGCGGCCGCCCAGTGCTGCAGTTATTGGGCCTCTAATAGGTCCACAGAAGAAGCCCACAAGGGACACGTGAGGCTCCAGGTGGTGGCTGTGTCGGCCCTGCTCCGGGTGCTCGGGGCTCTGCCCAGGGGCTTTCTACAGGAGAAGATCCCCCCTGACTCTAACGCTCTGCTTCTCTCTCTCCCCGCCCAGCGGACGTGACCCTGGATCCGGACACGGCGAACACCTGGCTCCACCTGTCTGCGGACGGGAAGTCCATGACATCTGGAGACTTCCCCAATCCCGTGCCTCCCAACCCCAAGAGATTTTTGAAGAATCCCTGTGTTCTGGGTGCCCAGGGGTTCACCTCGGGGAGACATTACTGGGAGGTGGAGGTTGAGGATAAGCGGGGGTGGGCCGTGGGAGTCGCCATAGAGTCGGTAAAGAGGAATGAACGGCTCTCTCTTAAGCCGGAGGAGGGGATCTGGTGTCTTGATTGCAAGTGGCCTCGGACGGCAGCAGATGGCTCCTCTGATGTGTCCTCACAGAGGTGTGTGAAGTCTGGGAAGATCGGGGTTTGTCTGGATTATGAAGGCGGGTGGGTCGGATTTTATAAAGATGACCATACGACTGTGATGTTGGCCTCCTTCAACGAGGAAGTCGTTTTCCCCTTCTTTTACTTGGAAAACATGCTTAGCCTCACAATCTCCCCCTGAAGCACATTGGGACTCGACCTCCCTCCCCCCCGGAAAAGTATCCCTCTAGCCATTTTCTGTACAGCCTGCCCTAGCCTCTGTGCCCTTATCTACACACAGCCTTTGAACCAGCATCTGATTTAATTTGAACCGGAGCACACACCTGTGTGGATGCTCTTAATTAGGCTCCAAAGTTTAAGGGCTTGTCTACATTCGATGGGGAATCGAGGCTGCAGTGATCGATCCACCGGCGGTTGAATTATTGCGTCTGCTTAGATGTGATAAATCAACCTCCGAGTGCTCTCCCGACGATTCTGGCACTCCACCAGGGTGAGAGGAGTAGCTGGAGTTGACAGGCAAACAGCCTCCACCCACCTTACTGCCTGGAAGACACCGTGATAAGTACATCGAGTTCAGCTATGCTATTCGCATTGCCGAAAGTGCAGGTTAGATCAGCTGGGGGAAGAAGGGGTCAGTGTAATGTAGACTAGGCCTAAGTGTTGCCAGCACTTGTAGTTTTCTCATGTGTGTCATAATATTTGATTTTTTCTCTTAAAGCCCCAGTTCCTGGAGTCCTGTGATTCCCTCACACTTATTAAGCCAAGCAATTAAAATCATAACAGCCTAA